CAGCTGTTCCTAGCATAACACATGTCAATGTGACATTTGTAGGATCAAAGGGACCTACAAAGTGTACTATTGAATTGTTAAAACCTAAAAATAGATCTGGTAAGCTGTTTGAAATATGCAGCTATAAAATATGTAACAATGCAAATATTGTATTCAACTTTTAGGAGCTGAAGTACCATTACAAAACCAAATGACACATAAAAGTATGGCAAAACCAACTGTATCCCATCATTCCCATAATATAAGTATGTAAATTAAAATTAAACAGCAGAACCAACCGTTATTTTACTGATACAACTATAGGTGCTTCAGAACAATTTAGAAGTGTGTCTTATGAACTTCATATATCTATATCATCTTGTTTGATTAAAGTGTCTATGAAACTTAATGCTATGGGTCTGATATCACAGAGTCTAAATGATGATATGATTGATGAAAACAAAAGCCCTTCAGTAAAAGCTGCCAAATTGGTATCTGAATTGCAAAAAACTCTTAATGCCCATCCTAATCCCAAAGCATATCTTAATAAAGTGTGCACAGCATTGAAAGGTATTGGAGAGAAACAAATAACTGATGCAGTGAACAAAATGGGTATCATAGATTTCACATGTAGATATGACAAATTATCTCCTGTTCTTGAATCAGAACATGATCATCATTACAAGGGAGTATATTGTAAGCTCTGTGATGATTACCACCTGAAACCTGAAGACATTCAGCAAAAAGTATCAAGTAAGTCATTGTTATGCAACTTAATCATAATACTCATGCATAGACAACAAATCTCCACCAAATATGGTTGATCTTATCAACTTGGTTGCAGCAAAGATTCAAGACAAAGTTTTATGAATTTGGAACAGCACTTCATTTGGATGATAGTTTTTTAAAGAGTCTCTATGATACTTATCATAATCCCATGGATAGATTCATTGCTGTTTTTAATAGGTGGGAGGACAATGATCCTGACACATACACATGGGCTACTGTCATTAAGGTACTTCAGTCTGATGCTATTGGAGCTCATGCAGTGGCTCAAGATGTCATGAAGCATCTTACCACTAATGCAGAGGCAGCAGAGCATGCTTCCAACTAATTGTAATTGTGTGATGTGTGCCATTTATTATGTTTTACAAAGTTTATGCCTACTTTATTTTTACCACTTGTACATGATTTTCTAGAACTTTTGTTTTTACTATTGATGCTGTTATTGTTATTTTATATTTTTTTGCTGTGACTGTTTTTATATTCTTAGTATACTGAATTGACTTTTGATGATTGTAGAACTTCACTGATGAGGCCAAGATGTGTTAGCAGTTCTTATCTCTTGTTGCATAGATATCATAAAATGATAATCTGATTAGCACCAATAAAAATAATTAATTTGGTTATTATAAAAAGTACAAAATTTCACAGAGTAGACATAAAAATGTTCTTTGGATTCTCATTAAAACCTAAAGCCTTTCCAAGTACAAGGAACTGACTTCTGAGGTAATCAATGTTCACATAGGTAGTCTACATAATAAAAAGTGACATCATCAGTAATCATTAAGTTATCAATCAGTAGTACTTGTAGCTGTTTTTAAATATAATAGCAACATTCAAATTTTTTAAATAGGCATACTGATATACTACTAAATGTGTTTGTGTATGCATCATATACTGTACATGAAAATTC